ATGGGACACCAGCCGCCGCTCCCTGGTCTGGGGGAACACAGGGCAGTTAGACCCTCTCCTCTCCCCCCGCCACAGAGGACTTCCAGCATGCCCATAGGCAGCTGTGGCCACACACCTCTGAGCTGTGGATCTCCAGGATGGTTTTCTTGTAATGGTTGAGGTTCTCCATGCCCAGGTTAGTGATGGTCAGGGCCCCAAAGCACATCTGGAAATCCTTCTCCAGGGGCCAGTACTGGCCGCACTTTCTCCTGCCTCCCTCCTCCAGCCTGGGGGCAGGAGAAGGACAAGCTGGTGATGTCCTCCTCGCCTCTGCTAGGGACGTGTCCCATGCCACCCAGCCCTGGTTCCTTGGCGATCCCACAGGGACCAAATGGTCCAACCCTGATGGGACACCCCCACCCTGCTGGGCTCTGGCTGCCACCATAGCTGCAGGGTGACTGCAGAGAGCACAGTGCCGCTCATCCAACAGCAAAACTGCTCAATTTGCAAAGAAAAACAGGGCTGTGCCCCCCATCAGGAGCACTCACCGAGTTGTCATCACGATCACCAAGACGTTTTGCTCCCACACCATGCGCCAGAAGTCACCGTAGGTGTTTTCCAGAGGCCCTGCATGGACAGCCTGCATGTCAGCCCAAAACCTGATGGATTTGGGGAGCCCTTTCGCTCAGCAACCTGCACGGGCTCCCCTTGCCCTCCCTGTCGGACCACAGCCCCTTCCCGTGGGAATCGACCCTGGTGCGGATCCAGCAGCCCTGCCTGGAGCTGCCACTCGTTGCCCCCTGCCCCAGCACCAAACTCTGATGGCTCAGCATTGATCTCGTGCCCTGCTCCTTACTGTTTCATCCCTGGGCAGACGGGGCAAAGCCAGGGCTGGGTTAGGGGCAGGGGGAGGGGGCTGCCATCGCTGCTGCTAGTGGGTTCTGCTCAACCTAGGACCTGCTTTTGTGGGAGGCGACTGAAGCAGGACAGACCCACTTGCTCTCTCCCAGGAGAAAATGTGCACCTTCCTGGCTGGGGACTGGGAGGAAAGTAAATATACCCAGAGAGGAGGGGGACTTGCTCCTCCTCCCCGGATGTCCTCCACCGCAGTTGGTGGTTGATGCTGGGCAGGGAGGTGAGGCCCACACATGCATCAGGAGCAAAATAAGGTGGCCCAGGCCATACCTTGTGTCCCAATGTAAGCGTTCCTCTGCTTGTAGCCGTCCATGAAGCTGGCATTGATGTAGTCAGTCAGCTGCAGGGGGAGAAAAGCACGCACGGCATGAGCTCTCCGGAGCCCCGCGGCCGGGACGGCTGCATCAGCTTCACACGGGACCCTGAATTTCCATCCTGGGCTGGCTCACCTCTGGGCGGCTGTACGGCTTCGCCAGCTTGACGCGGGTTTGGTCCAGGCAGGGTACATCCCCGTACCGGTTCTTCTCCTGGTTGTAGGGTGCTCTGGGAGGTGGGGGAGAGGGGGAGAAAAAAGCAGGGATGTTTTCCAGGCGAGGAAGGAAAAGGCAGCATCTCTCACTCCCTCCCTCTCTCCGCGCAAGTCTCCAGCGCCCGTAGCCTGGGCTCTGCTGCCATCACCTGGCCAAAGCCTCAGAAGCGAAGTCTCGGCCAGGTCCCGGTCCCCGCTGTCCCCCGTGCAGCTCCCTCCTAACCTTGGGGGCTGCAGGACATGCAGAGAGGGCTCACAGCACCCCTGCGCTTGGGGGTCTCTATCGCTAACCGCACTCTAAAGGGGCAGATGGGCCACCACCGAGCGGCAGAAGCATGGGGAAGTAGGGAGACCCAGCTTTTTCAGAGCGAGAGGGGACCCAGCTTCTTCCCCCAGCAACTCACAAAGCGCAGACGAAGGTGCCGGCCGGGCTCCGGCGCCGAATATCTTCATACTCTTCATAGATGCCTCGTTTCTGCTTGTGGCTGACGTGATCCAGCAGCTCCTGGAGGGTGACAGACTTGGGCCCGGGGACGTGAACGGAGCCGTTGTCTTTGGGAGCCACCAGTGGCACCAGGATGAGCTCATCCAGGGGGTCAGGGTGCCCGTTCTGCTGGGGCAGGAACCGGCAGTTCCAGCTCAGAGGGTCCAGTTTGAGGGAACCCCCGAGGTACTCGGGGAGGCATTCCCGGGGCAGATGCTCCTTCAGCTCCGACATCTTCACCATCTGCACCTGCACGAGAAAGAAGAGGGGCAGGGGTGACTCCAAGAAGGACGGAGAGGGTTCGTTAGGGACAGGGACAGGGATGCCAGTGGTCTGATGCGGTCCTGACCACCCTCCCCATCAAGGGTCTCATGCCAGGGAGGGGGGACCCCATGCTCACCCGCTCCCGCAGCTTCTCCTTCAGCAGCAGGCTGATGATGGAGTAAGGTACACGAAACCACATGGGAGCTCCCACGATGAAAACCTTCTTGAGCCGAGCCGGGAAGGCTCCCTGAGGGCAGGAGGGAGATCAGATCCACCACACCAGAGAGGAACCGGCCCCTCTTCGTGCTTTGTCAGGGCAGGGGGACACGTCCTAGCAGGGGTGACACCAGCAAAGGGACCCCGAGGTGGCAATGCCACATCTGAAGCGTGGCTTGCACACAGCCAGCTACCCCTGACTGCGCTTATTTTTATGCTCCAATAGGGAAACAAACAATTTCCTTGGAATTAGGTAGGCAGAGGGTTTGGCTCCGCAGGGGAGAGGTGAAGATCTGTGCGCGGAACACACCCCGACTAACATTTACTGTTATCTCTTTTTTCCGGAGAAGGGAGGAGGCACGAAATGCCAGCACGATTAAAAAATAATTTGCATCTGTTTTCCCAAAAGCGCTGCCAGCAGCTGCGAGAGGAATCCGTCCCGGGGACAGCTGATCCCCTCCCACCCGTGGCACATCGCAGCCCCAGCCAGGTCCAGCCTGGCAGGCTCCCACCGCCTTCCTGGGGTCCTACAGGGCTGGAGCTGGCCGAGACGTGGTCACTGTGGTCTGGGGTGAAAATCTATGCCAAAACCACAGGGCTTCATGTACTCAGTGAGTGAGTGGCCCATGTGCTGTCCCCAGACACCGAGACACCCCTGGCCGTTACCTTCAGCAGGTTGAGGATCTTCTTGCTGAGGTCCAGCTCGAAGTTGGTGTACTGTGAGCCCGCCATGTCATAGATGAACACCAGTCCATTCCTCTGGGTTTCAAAGCTGAGAGAGGGGAAAGAGCAACGTCAATCCAGCAACATCCCACTGCTCGGCTCCTACATGAGCAGACCTGCCCCACGCGAACCTCATCTTCAGCTTGCTGACCCCCCAAAGTCCCCTTCTGTGCTTGTGGAAGGACTCACGGATCCAAAGCTCGCTTCTGCATTTCCCAGCTGCACCACCTCCTCTTCCTACAATCCTTATTTAAGCCTGGCTCATGTCTTGAGCCCGTCTCGTGCCTTTCTCAGCTGCATCACCCATGAGGGGTAAATTCAAAAACAGAAAGAGCCCAGCAGGATAAATGGAACGTCCCAGCTTTATATTTTTGGCAGGGCTCACATTACGTCTTGCCGGCATGGGGGACGCCTCCTCCTCGGTTGAAGCCTGCAGAAATCCAGGGCTTTACTTAACTGAATCCTGGATGTGGGCACAGAAAGGCTGCAAAGAGCCTGGTTCGGGGCTCAGAGGATTTTGTTCCCCTGCTGACCACCTCCATGGGGATGACTGGCTTATGTTCAAACCAAGGGAAGACACGGAATTTCAAGGCACAGGCAGCTGCCTATCTAGAGGTAGGACAGCAGAGGCATGCAGACTGAGCCACAATTTCACCTTCAGGAACTTGTTCATGGGAGAGATGGCACATCTTTTGCCCGCAAAGCCTTTAGAAGGGATTTCATCAACAGCTCAGCAAGCAGCATTGTCTCCCCATCGACCCTGAGAGGGAGAAGGGGGTCCCCGAGGACCCACTGCTGCTGGACCTGCACCTTGAGAGAGGCAGACTCACCTCTCCACCGCTCGGTCCAGCAAGTAGAAAAGTGCCTGGAGCACCACGTGCTGCACGCTCTTGCTGGGGTGATGGAGCTTAGCCGTGAAGAGGGCAATGGAGGCTCCCGAAGGGTCCCGCACACTCTGTTGAGAAAACGGGGTCAAAATCCCATGGAACCTGAAGATAAGTTGGGGTAATTCAGGAAGGGGCACGGGGGAGTACCCCCAACTTACCAGAATGGTGAACTTGCCGCTGAGCAGCTCCGAGCGCAGCGGCTCCTCATGCGGCTTCAGCGCTTAGCCGTGAAGAGGGCAATGGAGGCTCCCGAAGGGTCCCGCACACTCTGTTGAGAAAACGGGGTCAAAATCCCATGGAACCTGAAGATAAGTTGGGGTAATTCAGGAAGGGGCACGGGGGAGTACCCCCAACTTACCAGAATGGTGAACTTGCCGCTGAGCAGCTCCGAGCGCAGCGGCTCCTCATGCGGCTTCAGCTTCACGATGCCCTCCTTCAGCCGCGTCTCCTGCGGGCAGGGAGCCAGCATGACAGCCGGCACAGGCACCCCAGCCCTCTCCACACCATTGTGCCCCTTGGGGCCACCCAGCCCTCTGAGGCTGCTCTGCAGCCCTGTTTTCCAGCAGAGGATTGCAGCCGGCTGCAGCACCCCAACTTCCAGCACAGGGAGGAGCAGCTTTGCAAAATCCCGATGGGAAGGGTATATATGCATATATATCCTTTATGTACATGTCTGTGGGCGTCACACGCCAGCCTAGAGGGCACCCTGCAAGCATGCACGCTGCTCTCAGCGGATCAGTGAGATCTCCATGGTGACTCACTTTGGCTGAAAAAGGATTTTCCAGCCAGATAAAACTCACGAGGGAGTGGGAAAGAGATGAAAAAACATCAGGGAGAGGGTGGTCCTTAGGACCAGAGATCTCTTGCAGAGCAGAAGCCCTTGGCCCAGGGTCGGGATCCGGCGCTGCTTCCTTACCCGGTAGGAGTGAAAGAGTTCGATAGCCCGCAGGACATCGAACTTGCGGGCCATGAGGAACTTGACGGCCACATTCCAAGACAGTGGGGACACATTGTACTGGCCTGTCCACTTGTTGATCTCCTCCAGGAACTGCTTGGTTGCCTGCAGGGAGAGATGAGGGGCGTGTAGTGAGATGAGGTTCGAGAAGAAAGAGGAGGAGGAGGCGGCCGGGGAGCAGGAGCCTGGGGAGCATCCCTGGTGACGGTGGGATGGCTGCAGAAGACCAAACGAGAAGGGTGCAGTTCAAGAGGGCCCCAGAATGCTCCCACTGCTCCCCATAGCCCCGTAACACGCTGGGGCCATTCTGCATGAGCACGCTCCCCTCCTAAAGCAGCGGCAGCACACACACCCAAAACTGTCCCACTCAAAGGAGGTGAGCAGGATGGAGGGAGATCCTGAAATGTCCCGCTCCCACCCAGGCACACCCCAAAATAGAGTTTACACCCACGTAAGAGGAGAGGATGGCGATGACAGTGTGAGGAGGAGGAGGGACAGGGAGCACTGAAGGCTGGCTCTTGGAGCAGGGAACGAGGGCAGGCGGCGGTGTTGGATGTCAGGTGGCAGCACGAAGTTACGGGGAGCTATTCAGCCAGAAAAGCTCGTCGGCGTTAATGACTTCCGACGGGAGGAAGCCAAAGGCCGGGGTTTATCACGGCACAAGGCTTGGTGGGGGCAGCAAGCCTCTCTCACAGGATGAGCCCGAGGAGCCCAGCTCGTCCAAGGGGCCTCTCTGTGGCCCACGCAGCATCGCAGCAGGCATTTTTGGGGGAATCGGAAAGAGGATTTCGATAGCCCAGCTCCAAGGCCCTGCAAAAATCCCTTTTAAGCATCGTGAGCCTTCCCGGCGTGGCAGTGTGCCCCAGGCAACCAGCTGCAGTTTGGTAGCCAGACTGGCCCCCCCATCTCTGCAATCGCTAGGAGCAAGGGACTGGAGGGGAGAGGGCAATGCAGGGAGCGAAGGAGCCAGGGTGTTACACCCCCCACTGCCTCGCATTCCCACCTCCCAGCACGGAGGAACTTTTCCGGAGAGCTGTACTTATTCAGACACTTGTATCCCCATGGCTTCATCTCCAACAGTCGCCGTTTTGCCAAAACAAAAGCATCTGTTTTGTGGCCCAAATTTTTAATGTTTTCTCCACTATTGAAGACGGATGGTAAAATAAACAGAGCACTACAGAATCCATCTTCAGCCTCAATACATAAGAGTTATATGTACAAAATACATCCTACCGCGCAAGCTAAGATGGGCAACCTCACCAACCGTACCCCGACTTCGCTAGGGAGTCCCCTGGGGTCCTCAGCTGCTCAAAAGCTAGGGCAGGGCTGGAAATGCAAACCTAAACTCACAGCAGAGACGCTCCTTCCCCAGCGCACGCAGGACAGCATGGGCATGGGGGTGAGTGCCAGGCACACTCCCACTGCCCTCGGAGAGACACCAGAGCTGACGCTGCAGCTTGAGATGGGAAAAATGCCCCGAGATGACAGGAAGGATGCGGTGGCAGCGGGGAGAGGACGCAGTGTGTGTGATTCAGGTCTCCTGCCTCAGCATCTAAACCCGCCACACTTCACGCAATCCCATTTCCAGCATCCATCACAACGGATACCGGGTTTTTGGCAAGGAGAGCAAGGGCTGGCTTTGCAGGGCAGCTCAGCCACGAATTCCAGCCTTCCCCAGGAACAAAATGAAATCCTAAACTTACCAGTGCCGATGCTCAAGAGCAGGCAAGCCAGGAGTTACCAGGCTGAGCATCGCTGCCAGCTGTAGCTCTGCCTCCCTTGCACGCTCCACCGGGTCTCATCACTGTTACTGGCTGGATCCTATACGGATTTACCCCCGTGTTGAGCTGAGCACAGCAGGGCTCTCTCTGTGATGCTAAGAATGAAGCCCCTCACCCTGAGCTGAAGCAAGAAGCCCTGTTTCTGCAAGCAACGGCAGCAAAATTGTCCACGGCCAGGCGTTTTGAACAATGCCGGTCTTTGGAGCGCTGGCGTCATCTAAGTCCCTGCTTCGCTGCGCCAAGGGCAGGGTGGTGACAAAGCCACCACTGCAGGAACACTGGGGCTCTTCGAGCCCTCCTCCTCCCCTCCGGGTTGCAGCAAACCCACTCTCCTTCTTCCTCAGTCCAGGAAGCGGGGAAAATAAAACCTGTGAAAATTGCAGCTGGGCTGAAAATCCCCGAGGAAATTCAGTTTGGCTCCTCTGGTCCTTCTGGGACAGGCTGGGGAGGGAACCTTGGAGATCCTACAAAGTGGGAGATGTCCCACGGCTGGGAGGGAGGCGAGAGGGAAGAATTCCACCCGCATTAGCTTGGAGCAAGGGGAGAAAATCCTGATGGTCCTGAGGAGGGTGAAGGGGTGGCAGGAAGGGGATGTCCCAGCCCCAGCCAGCACTTAACCATGAAAAGAGAGTAACTTCCACTATTTTTACTTCCAAGCCATACAGCGCATCCCCAAGGGCAGCCTTCCCCCACCCCACCCTGATGATGCAAACTCGGAGCCATTATTGCAATAATCCCTTCATCTTCTCCATTCAATATTCCCACACAAACTAAACACCTCGGATCTCCCTCCCAGGGGGAAACCCAGCCACAGCTCTCGCTGCAAACCCAGCCTCCCTGCCGGAGAACAGACTGCCAAAGCCCTCTTTGCTGGAAGCTTCGCCCCTTCCACGACACAGGGGAGACACAAATCACAGGCAGCTGCAGGGACACGGCACAAATGCCCCCAGTCCTTGAGATTTTATTACCCTGGAGATACCAGGAGCAGTGCTGATAAGAGGGAGGTGTGGTGGAGGAGAAAGCCTGGGAGTGCTGCTTTTCCTGAGCACCAGCGTGGGCTGCGGGACGGACCCCTCCAGCTTTGGGCATGGATTTGGGGAACCAAAGGTCTCTGTGCAGACCTACCTAAATCTCCCTGCAGAAATTAAAGACGTTTTAAAAGAAACAACCAACCAGAAAACTGACTATCCGGTCCCTTTTGCCTTAGCGTTGCAGCCCTCCGGGTTGGCAAGGTGGCCGATGAGACGCCATCCTCTCGGCCAGCCCGAGCATCGCCGTGGGGCAGAACAGAGCCCGGCTTGGAGGCAGATGTGGCTCAGGGTGGGGATGCAGAGCCAGGAGGGCACCCCTGGGGACAAGGACGAAGGAACGGAGAGCCAGAGGCGGCTCTCGCCACCCGACATGCCCTGGCTGGCTTTATCGGCCCCGCTCCTCGAG